TCGTTAATTTAGAGTGAATTTGTAATTTCTCGATTTTTGTTAGGGAATGTATGTCAGTTTTGTGAAAGTTGTCTCTGATGTGAAATTTGCATAGATTTTCATACATGATCCATCAAGTCTCGCGATACACGTTCTTTCGACAATCGAATCATAGAAAACGATGGTCGATCGACACGAAGAAACATTTCTTAGACGGCGTGGAACACGAAAGGAACCTGTGCCACGATTTGTGAGCCATTCATAGAAGAGGGTTATCGATGAGGGTTGTTTACGAAACCCTTAATCAATTCAGCGGTACCAAACGGAGCTACTGTTTACCCAGGCGACTGCCAATATTTGATCTCGTGTCTGCCTTTGGTCGTTCAGAGACCAGATTGTCGTGTTTTTCTTCTGTTATCCGGCAACAAAAACCCCACGCGATGAAAGTTTCCGTTTCCGTGTTGGCGCCTTGTACCATTCGATATCTAAGCATAGAGAGCTTCCAATCTTTCTTCAAGTGAAACGAAAAATTACATTATCTCCTCGTGTGAAGAAAAACACGTCTTTCACTTTCTCCTAACAGTCTATCGCAATTCTAAATCTCCTCAAATGACATTTTGGTAAATAAAAAATCGTCGAGCTTACAATCTTTCTTCCAGTGAAACGAAAAATTACATTAAATTCTCGTGTGAAAAGAAAAATAACTTTCTACCAAAATTCTGGCACAAATTTAAATTTTCTCAAATGACACTTTGGTAAGCAAAAAATCGCCGAGTTTCCAATCTCTCTTCCAGTGAAACGAAAAATTACATTATCTCCTCGTATGAGAAAATATCACTTTCTCCCAAAATTCTATTACAATTCTAAATTTTCCCAAACGACATTTTGGCAACTAAGAACTCGTGTCTCCTTATTTACGTTAATATTCTTCACTTACAACCTTCCTGCGTTCACTCTTCAATTCTTTTCTACCCCAAATTCACCCCCGAACCCCAAACACCACGAAATAAAGAGTTTCAACGAACGAACGGCCTACAACAACGACAGGAATGCGCTGAAAATTCAATTCTCCACGAAACGATACCAGAATGATCGACGTTTCTATCGCCGCGGCGGTCCTTTTACAGGGAATCGATTACACGGAGGGAAGTACTGTCAGGGGGTTAACGAGGTATCGAAACGGCCATTCGTACCTCACCAACGTCCACGCGAAACGCTACAGGCATCGTTGTCGGGATGCTGTGAACGCGCTCGCGGAACAATGCAGTGTATCATTAACGAGCCGAGTGTACTTAGTTAGGTCAGCTTCGTCAGTTTCTTAATTGGCTTCTGTGCCACGTCGCAGTACGACGACAAATCAGAACGCGGCAACCCGCTACTAAAGCGAAACTTCCGAACGGACGAAACTCTCCGACGAGTAAAACGAATTATACAGGGTGTCCCACACGTTTGCAGTTCAAACTTTCACAGTCTCTCTTCTACAACTACAAAAATAACTCCGAATTGTCACGTAGAAAAAAAAAAAACAATCTTTGTCACATCGTATCTCCGTCCACTGCATCAGAATAAGATTTCCACATGGTGTACCTTAAAGATTCGTGTCTTCGCTCGAAGAGAAACTCGGGTGTATTTCTTTACGTGGCGTGAAGAAATAGAGAAAGAATTTGTCTTACGATCGTTGAAAATCTGCATCGTTCGATAAGTAACACGAAGAAGACGACGATAGAAGAATGTGTTTAAAAGGAAATTGGAAATTGCGTGTTTATGGATAATTGCAGTACTTTTCAGAGGATCTGCTAGAAGTTTTTTAATCAATAAAAAAAAAAAAGGAGTAGCTGTGTATTAATAAGTAGCTGTGTAAGATACCACTGCGTGTTATTATTTGAAAATGTATTGACAAATGCTGCCTCTAATTTAGTTTCCCTTGTACACCGGTGTGAGAGAGGTTGAACGAAAATTTTGTCCGCCACTCTAGCTCCAAATTCGACGGAATATTCAACCAAAGTTCCGAGACTCACCAGTTCTCAGAGGCGTCCTCGTCGAGGATGGTCCCGTCAGCAAGTCGATGAGGTAAGTTGGTCGTGGCTCTCGGTCGATTCCTGACCCTTGGTGGACCAACGACACCGGTCCTGGAGAGGCCAGCACGAAAGGACGCCCTTGCCCTGTCGACTGCTCGAGTCAACGTCATTGAATCTTATTAGTGATTGTTAGTAGAAACTGCTAGCTAGACACCGAAGAAAATATATTGCGGAAGTCTACGGTATCGTCCTTTCGAGAATTTCTCTCACAAAATTTTTACTAAATTCCTTGGCCGGAGAATGTACAAAAATAATAAACACCAAAAGAATGTGCCTTCGTGTTAAACGAAATCTGTGATAGGTCAATTGGACAACTGTCGGCGAGGTAAAAATGAAAGATCGGAGATTTTAGACAGGATTGACGTATCACAGAATAAGTTCGATTAGAAACATCATTTTCGTGGTTATTCAACGGGATTTTACTCGAAACCGCACAGCTGATTAACGCTAAACGTTACCACTTCGGTTGATCATTTTTCTCAGGCAGAATATAACAGGACAAGGTTTCTCCGCGAGCTCTATATACATATACGTATACACTTTGTTACTTTGCGCAATATATTTTTCTCAGCGAACACGGGGACTCGAGTGAGTTACACGTGAACGAAGTTAGTCACCGGTTGGATTAAACAAACTTTTCGCCGTGGTGCAAGGAAAATGGGATTATGAATCGCGCTGCACCGTGGCACCTGAGAGCGTCGAGGACGAGAACAGCCATTGATTGTCCAGGGGACAAATTGACGCTTCGGACATCGTTAGAAGTCGAGAGTAAAAATAGCAATGATGGGGTGGAAAGAATGAGCTTTGATATGTTTTTCCTTTTTCGCCGAACAAGCATTTCGTTGTTCTTCTCTATGTACAGGCAGCGAGGAGCAGATGCGGCGGGGGGTAAATTTTAGATTTATCGTTACACACGCGATTGAATCGTTGGCAAACGAAATTCTACGATCATACGGCAGGATATCGTCGTGACGCTGTTTGATTTTGCGCCAACCTCCGAGTCGTTGAACCTCGCGCGCAAAAATACAGTATCCGTTTCTCCGGTTCCGATGATCATGAACGAGGCACACAGTGCTCGGGCGAAAAGGAAACCGCCGTTCGTACAAGAACTAGTGTATTCGATGAATTTGAAACCTGCTCGGTGAAGAAGACGAACGATCTTTCGTCCAGTTTGTGCCGGCCAACTGAAATAAAGATCTAGCCGTCGATTCCGTTCGAAGCAAAGATTAAAGAAAAGAAAAAAAGAAGAAGCGTGGAACGAAAGGTGTCGGTGATTGGAACTGATAGGTGCAATTTTCTCGCACAGCACCAGGGGCCATCGATCGTTATTAACGAGCAAACGAAGCAACCTTTCCTCCTTTACTACACTCTGTCCATCGAGAATATCATCCTCTGGTTGTAAGACGAAAAAAAAAGAGAAAAAAATTCGTCGAACATCGATGCCTAATGAAAAATACACCCTCTTCGTATCGTGGAAATATCGAACGGACGAAAGGTCAAGTAACAAAGAAGAAAAAAGAAAAAAAAGGGAGTAATATCGTTCCGTTTTCCATCAGAACGATCGGAGTTTAATTGAAAATTTCGTTTGGCAAACTCTGATATTCTTGACGAAAATTGCAGAGGCACGAGAGAAAAGGGGGAAATAAACGAAAGAATAGATTACAAGTGGCGAACGTGGGGTAGTTCGATCGTTCAGGCTCGACAGCTCCGTGTCCATTTTAATAATCAATTTCATTCCCAGGATTGTAACCATCAGCTGATTCGCCCGTGGGTGGTCGAGGGTGGATTTATCAAGCGGTGGTGGGGTGTCTATAGCTTCCTATACGGGGGTATAACATTTATTACCGGGTCAGGGTTAACTGTTAGGCGCGCCACACACGTCCACCGACTGTTCTGCGGCGTCATTCTAAAAATAGTTCCGCGAACACTCCAGATATAAAACGTGACCACGCGTCTCTTCCTTCTCGCGTGTGCACGCCTCCTCCTCCTCCTGTACACACACGCGTGCGTGTGTGTGTATTCAGAATTGTGTGCAGCGAGATTACACGGAACAGACAGTTCGCTCAGTCGTTATAATTACCGGAGAAATAAAAGAAGAACTGCGCTTTATTGACCCTTTCATTTCCAGCCAAACCATACGTACAGACACGACGTCTCTGTACATTCTACGCGGTTGAGATTCAATTGTACTTCATTTACAAACCAGTTAATATACACGTATTCTGCAGTTAGAATGGCGACCATTAACTGGAAAATCTGAATTTTTATTCCGCACGAAAGCTCTGGCTCGATTGTAAACGTATTACTTTTGAAGAAATCTCGTGGGAGAATCTTGACAAGCAAATAAGTATCGTTAAGTAGAATTGCCGACGCGTCAAGGGTTGAATCTCCTAATTTCCCAACGAAAGAGATCCTCGAACACTCTCCAGCTACCCAAGTATCTCTATCAACCATTAATCCACCCTGTAAACGTTTCGTTACACCGTCAATACGATTCCTTCGTAAACGAAGAGATACCAAGAGTAATCCTTCCAAGGTTAGAAACTCTAGTCTCCCTTCCCTGGTTCGAATCCACTCTGCTTAAAACTCGACCACTCGTGTGCTCCGATAATAAAACTCGATCGAGAGCTGCGGGAACTTTCTTCATAAGATCACCTTCTCCGCCCTGCAGCCACCACTGAAGAGGTAACCGAAGAAAAAAAGGCCCAAAAAAAAGGAAGAAGAGGATCGAATAAAGAAAGTTGAGATGTTTCTTCTAACCGGCTGGTTCTTTTCTCTCGCTCGACGAGATCTCCCGAAAAAAAGAAGGAAAACAAAACAGGAACGTGACACACGGAAGGACGTGCCGAAGAGTAATTCGCGAATAAGCGCAACGGTATCGTTTCGCGACTCATTATGCGGACAAATCTGACCTCGATCTACGATTGCAATAATCTTCGAGGTGGGAAGGGTGCAACGTGTGTGTTACATGGCCCAGTTGCCTACGGGCCGGCCCTGAACGTCGTCGTCGTTGCTCGTGATCGTCGTCGACGACGACGCTGTCTTGTACCGATCGGTGCAGCAGAAAATAATGATCCTCCCTGGCTTAAAAGCCCGCAGGAAGCTATATATGCGAGCACGGCACGAAATGTTTTGGCAAGACATCCACAGTGTTAAGCGTCCAGCGTGCGTTCCGTCTTTCTCCTCTAGGGGCGAACGGAGGTGTCTTTCGTGGATGAATTTAGTGGCCCGGTGGAATGGTTCCAGGGGAAACGCGACGTGTTTGCCTGGTGAATTATCTTGTATTATTGCTCTTGTTAATTCCATATTTTTCTACCTTAATCGTTACTTTAGCTGTATCACGGGTAATTTCATTTTGGGAATATTTAAATCGACACTTCAACGTATCTCGTTAGGATACACAAGTGTGTACACAGGGTGCTTTCCCCTCTTAGCGTTTGATTTTCCATTTTTATCACTGAAACTAATCGTCGCAAGCGGTTCGATAACGTTTCATTCAGCAGAGTTTGCGTTTACAGAATTACTTCTTTTTTTTCTTCTTTCAATGGAACACAAGTTTATTCTTTTTTTTTTTTAGTAGATTATACAGAGGAATTGAAGTTACGTAAATGATCAAGGGGTTAACTTACATGATGAATGTTATTTCGAAAGATTTGACACAAGTGGGTAGGTGAACACTTATGAGCGGTAGTCTACGTAGCTCTAACCAACTCGCGATACTATTTATACGGAGTTACGAAGCGGTACAAGGGGTGTGTTATTCGAAAAGTTTCGGGAACAAGCGGCTGTTCTGTCTTGCTGGTGGCGAATTTAGAAAATGCTCGGATCCTTTTAGGAAAATACAACGAACCTTTGGTAAAGTGCTTGCACAACATTGCACCGGCGCTTGTACGTGCTGTTTCCTCTTGCAAAGCTAATTTGAAAATAGCGAAATAAACTTTCGTTTCAAAAGTCATTCCCCAAATAATTGCACGGTTTGACGCGAGTAATTAAATTACAGCAATTAATATTACTTCGCGAACCACGTTCCGCGGTGAAATTTCGCGTGCAACGTATTTTGGAAATTTCATCTTTTTCTTTTTTTCTAAAAGGTTCACTTTACAACGTTCACTTGTATTTTCAAACGAGGATACAGCTCGCGTGTGCAATCTGTACGATGATTGTATGCTAGCACGTAGCTTCAAGGTGCTAATAATACTATTTATGTAAGGAATAAGAGGGTGTGCAAGGGGTGTATTTATTGACCAGCTTCGAAAATAACCATTTATTCCGTTTTCCAAAGAAACTAAACGGGAAACAAGCAAGCTGACAATTTTAAACGTATTCGATATGCCTTGGTTTAATGATGAGCGTGCTCTAGCCAGTTTTTCAGGCGTCGCTATATGCATAGTAATCATTGGTAGAAATTATTTAACAGGCCTATACGAGAACAAAGCGTGTAACCGCCGTTACTGCTACAACTTAACGTATACTCGAGGAATTCTACTGTGCATTTTTGATTTCTGCCAAGTTTCTGCAAGAGAGAAAAGAAAAACAAAAGTGTACACTCGATTCGAACGTGTGTAGAGTACACCAGAAGATATTAATATTTCCCTAAATATTGAACGTCGACAATGTCACGGGACGCTAAACACCCCTTATCCCGACACGAGGCTAATTACTTTAATTAATTTAGATGCATTTAATTACAGGAAGGGTGCTCGTTGGGTGACACGCGAAGCGGAAAAAATTGGCAAGCTTGGCGATGCTCGATATTTTCATCGGTGTATTCGACAGAAATTAGACAGGAAAATGAACGAACGGTCGGTTGTAGAAAAGTAAGCGTTTGTAAAATTGATTTCCTCGACAATCGTTCAAATTTTTCCCCATTCGATATAATAATTCGGCAATTTACTCGACACACGGTCAACGAAGCTCATCCAATCAATCCGTGTGGTTCGTTTAACGCGTTGATCAAGCGGGATAACCGGCTTCGAGTGAAATTACCTCTCTAATCGGTCAGAGAGGAGAGGCACAGAGGATGAAGCGTGAAATTCCCTGCAGAATTTCATTAGCCATTCCTCCGGCTACCGAAAAGAATCCGTTGTATAGAGTTCTGACGGATGACAGAGAGAGAGAGAGGAAAAAAAAAGAAGCGGCTAGGTGGTAATTTTTACAAGCACCTTTTCGCACATCAGTCTGTGGCAAGTAAGGTCACACCGTGCTCCAAGTAAGCCTCTACAGACACACCCAGTGTTAACACTTAACTACGTGACCTAGTGTCCTCGACGCGTTGCACAACGAAAGCGATACGAGAGAAAGAGAATATCCGCGGAATTAAATAGGACAAACAGTAGCGTAGGAGTGACGTTTGTTAACGGAATCGAAAGTACTTTCGTTCACTTTGACGGGCTCTTAAAAGAAAAAAAAAAATGGCGACAGAATGACAGAAAACTGCAGTACTTTAATTACACGCGAACGCCGTTTCATGGTTCTTTCTCTTTTTCCTGCGTTTCAAGGGAGGTTTCAAGCGTAGAGGGTGAAAAAGTTGCGAACATTTTCGCACTCGTTTCTTCGAACATTTTAAACATGTAAAAAGGTATGTTGCGTGTGAGGTATTTATTGAAATTTGAAAACGTTCGACGACAGTGACGAGACTTTCGAGTGGAATGGCGCGACAAAATGGCAGACAGGATCTTCGATTTTCTGAAAATGGACAGCAAAGTGATACTCGTTTCTCGGCCGTCTGAATAATCAGTACCTCGCCGTGATAACGGGTCAATGAAATGTTCGTCTATGAAATGCTTCGTGTAAAAAAAATCGAAAAAAAAAAAAACAGCAGGAAAATGTACAGTGACAAGTGAACGCAAATTGAACGTGAAATTTCACGGAGATCCGCTGGAGAACGAGCGTAGTAGTAGTAGTAGTGGTGGTGGGAAAAAAAATGAGAAAACACGAAGGGGAGTGGAGTGAAAACAAAACGAGAAGGAGAGAGAAAAAAATTGGAACTTACAGCGTGTGACGAGCCTGTTGTTGGTCTGGCTTGGGGGCGGAATTGCAGGCTGCGGGGGCGGTTGGGAGCTCAAATCCTCGAAGTTTATGATTTGCAAGCAGATGTCGTCCACCTCGCTCCTTATTAGCGCTATCACCTCGCTGCACAGAAATTTGGTGCCTGTGACAGAAAGAAATTAACTCGATTAGCACACGAACAAACAACCCCACCCTCTTGTCCCCTACGAAAAGAAGTTCACTCTAATCGATCATAATAACTTTACTACGACGAATTTTTCCTCCCTTTGAAGATACACCGTAATCTCTTAATACCGACCGTAAATAACGTTTACTTAGGTATAATGTAGAGCGACATTGTGCATTTTGTAAAAGTCCATTTCAGCCAGAAACTTTGTCTCTCTCTATCGTAAGCTACCAAATATCGATTGTCCGGGTAATAAAGCAAGAGATTTTACATCGAAGCGAGCTCACCCCTTTTCCACCAGCAAAATTCCACAAATATCGGTCGCGTATTGTGCAAATCACATACTCCTACCGGTGATAAATATCCGTCGTGTGACGTTTAATGGACGTCCGTCAGACGAGGCCTATTAAACTCCATAAGACCGCGACGAAACTAAGTACCACCCGATAAAACCTATCGAACCGTCTATAAATCACGTCTGGACTCGGTCCAAATACTCTCGTTGACCATCGTGAAACGGTGACACGTTCCGTAAAGCGAAGATTGTTACAGAAGCTGCGTAGCATCGTTATAAGTAGGGTAACGCGATTGCGCCACTTTCTGAATCTCTCGTTTCGATCCCTCGAGAATTGCCCTTATCCCGCCGCGTGTCCTACGTAATTCTCCTCGCGAAATCCAGACGACAGACCTTCTGTTTCACGTTCCTTTCAATCCAACTCCTCCGAGATGAGAATAAAGTTCGCCGTATCTACACTGTGTCTCGTTGATAAGGAACGTCGAAATTTCAATAGAACGAATAAACGCGATACGATCGAGTCGTGGTTGGGAAAGAGGGAAAAAAGTGTGCTCGTGAGCACGAAGGTCACGGAAGCCCGTAGCCACGGGAACACGATTAACGACGACGACGACGAGGAGGATGACTGGGACGGCTCTGCGAACGCAGCTAATTAGCAAGCGTGTTTACGAGTCAAGGTACGTTGGAGCTGGTCCAAAAGGGCTCGACAAAAGGAAAGTGTGTCCCGTGCGAGTGGTTGGTTACTGGTTCGCCTAGGATTCCCAATTCGGACGGTTGCGCAACCGAGGAAAGATGGAGAACACCCTGGTACGTAATCGGCCGGATAGAGCGTGCCAAGAGTGCCACCGGCCACCTGGACCCTCGATGGTGTGTGCACGTCATCGACGTGGAACGTCAGAGATGATGAGTCTCGTGCCTTGGTAATCGTGACTGGCCACTTGGCTCTGAGGAGCATGAATTATGGATGGATAGACGGATGGTTAGGGGCTTCTACTTGTTTGATTGTTGCTGCTTTAACCCTTTATCTTGTGACTTTCTTTTTTTAACACTAGAACTACCAACCGGGTCAAAATGACCTATTAGCGACTTTTCTAAGGTGAATTTTTATGTAACTAAAATGTGAATGAACAATTAGATTAGTTCGGTACAAACAGAAGCACACATGCAGAAAACAAAGTCGAAAAGATACAAATGGTAATACAGTAAATTCTCTACAAGAGTCAGTAAGATTGGATTCTACAAGTGACAGTATAGATGGTCCTACGCCTAGGTCTGCGTCATTGCTGCGCCCATGTTATCTCGCTCGCAGTCGGTCAAGCGTGTAACGCTACACCAGTCGATTTCCTTTACGAGATTACACGGCTCGACAAATCATAATAGAAAAATATAATTTCTTTAAGTTTCCTTTTTTCATCTGGAATTTTTTTTAACATATTGCTGAGATTTTTCTGATGAAAATGATATCAAACACGATACAATTTGAACGACATTTACTTATTAACACGTTCACTGTCACGCCAGATTTACAGGTTGCTGTCAGGCGGCCACAAGAAAATACATTTTAAGCATAGGATTATAGTATTATGCTTTATAATTTTCTTTTTTTAATTGAAAATAATGTCTAGCTAGCTATGACGTTCAAAATTTTTAGTTGACAACATTTATTTTATTTTAATTATTCTAAACATTTGAGGCACTCACTGATGACCACCATGGCCATACCGAGGAAACAATCTAACGTTAAAACTTATTGAGTGATTAATTTAATTTCATAATATATCGCTTTAGCGAGCCACCGTTTGCTTGCCAATTGTTTATCACAAAGAGTCGGCCTACCTCCACGTAAAAAAAAAAAATGTAGGGTCGATTCTACAAGTGTCAGTAAAATGTAGGGTCGATTCGACAAGTGTCAGAAAATGTAGGGTCGATAGCAGCAGAAAAGCTGCTAAACAATTAGAATTAAATGTAACGATAGAAATTACTGCAATAAT